CTCTGGGGGAGTTTGAGAAATGTAATAAAAAATAAATATTAGTATGATTAGTATTATTTTTATTCTCTATTTATAAAGGGAAATATAATGCTCTTCTTTTCTGCATGGTTGTCTTATAGAGCAGTAGACATAGAGTGCGGTTTTCTCTCCAGTATCCCAGCCAAATACTTAAAAGGATGAAGCTCACAGTTAAACAATGGAGCCAGCTCCCTGCAATCCTTATTTCAAAGGGGCTATGTTGTCTAAACCAGTGCAAAGAGAGAGAGAAACCCTATAAATAAAATCACCAGGTTGTGAAGGGGAATAAAATGAATGGATACCCTCTGCAGAATTGTTCTATGATACAGGGCAGCTACAGTAAGAAAGGGAACATACTTTAAAATGTATTACTGCATGATCTGTCAATGATCTGCCAAAGTCAAACCTTCTTTTGGCAGGAACTTTCCTAAATAAAGTAAGAAGGTTACTAAAGAGTAGTCAGATGGGACAGGGTTAAGGAAAAAAAATTGTTTCTTCACAATCAATGCATTTTATCAGCACAAGGAACAATGTATGAAAGTTAGAATGCGTCGGAATGCACATTTTTAACCACATTCAAGCTATATCTTTCAGTGACATAAATACAAAAATCCCTCACAAGAATAACCTTGTCAGAACACAATCAGTCTTTTATTAATGCATTTATGAATCATTCATGTGCCTTCCAGTCAATGAGTCAATACAGTCAACTAGTTTTCCTAAGATAGAAAACTTTGAACCAATATAACTGTATGATCTGGATGAACTGTCTCTGTAAAGTGCCTTGAGATGACATGTGTTGTGAATTGGCGCTATATAAATAAACTCAATTGAAATTGAATTGAATGTTGGTTTCATTTAAAGTCAGGATATGTTTTTCCTATCTTTGATAAAGGATCTAGAGTTAATTGTTTAAAAAGACACAAAGACTTATGGAACTTATAAAATTATTGAAATAGTATATAAGCATTTATTTTAGTGATTCTCATGTTCTCATAAAGAATCAGCAATGAATACTGATCTATTAGCTGAGTTTTATTCGTATAGACAGGCACAATAAGGTACAAGAAAAATAGTTTACAAATTTAAACAACCTTTTGTATAATATTTAAAAAACGAACAACGATTCAGACAAAATAATCTAAAAAACATTTCTTTGAGTTTTTCCAGAAACAAATTTTTTTAAAACATTTGGTATATATAGATTTTTTTTCTCAAATGAAACAAAAACTTCTGTCTTTCTCAATTTGACCATCTGACAAATGTCAAATGCAACTATATTGTGTTATACAGCAAACAATAGCAGGCATCTCTAATATATCAGGCAAACATACATTTTTAATATTTTGTAGGAGTATTATTGCTATAAAAATAATGTTTAATGTGTTAGAACACCTTTCCTTGTTCGAAATGTATTTATTTAAAAATTCCTCATTCCTACTCTTGGAAGATAACTTGAAACTACTTAAAATAGTGAAAAAATGTTTTACATTTCAATATACCGTATATATCTACCCTCTAAAAACCTGGAATGCCCTATAAAAGATTCTTCATTCAGCTGCAGAGATATTTAATTTCGATTTCAAGTTAAAAAAAGCATTTGAAAACAAAATACTTGAAAGATTTTTTTTAAAATGTCTTAACAATTATCAAGCAAGTTCTTATGATCTACAGGAACAAAATCTGTGCCAAAGACATCCATCCATTTTTGGCAGCTCATCCGTCAGGGTCCATGGGGTTAGGTGCTTCTCTCCATTCAACATATTCTCATTATCAGTTCGTATGAAATTGTACGAAAAGTTATGTTCTACACCCTAGACAGGTTGTTGGTCCACAGCAAGGCAATTCATCAGGAAGGTATATTAAGGAAAATATCTGACTACAAAACATCCATTTGAATACAAATGTTTAGGGTATGCAAAACAGTGTTACATTTTGTGGTATGCTACTAACTGCTAAATCATGACAGAAGTTTTAATTTAAAAGCCACAGGAAGAATCAAAATTGCATAAAACCTGGGAAAAAAATGCAGTTACAGAATCAGAATTAGAAACTGTGGCTGTACATGCAATTTTAATAATAGAATAGCTGATTCAAATGGTGTAAAATGAGGCTCTAAACTGATACACTAAACGTGTCTACGAGTGTAGACAAAACAAAGACGACCTTCTGACTTATTTAATGACGCTTGTGTAGACCGTCTCGTCATGAGTTGCATTTACTTTTCTTCTTTCCACCTTTGCCCCTGGTGAAGTTTGGCGCAGAATAGACCAAATACTGTTCATTTTTCTGAGGAATATATAGAGGAAAATAATGGGCAAGCAGATGTTAATTTAAACTTAAGCAGCAAACACAGTGTTAACATCTTTGGACTTTACCCCTTCATTATGCTGAGCTCCATGTCCTCTGATGGCATCTGTTAAAAAATGGAACAAATTTTCCCATAAAGAATATTAATTCCATATTATGCTACTACAAACTACCTTAAAACTGATCTATGAAACTTACCATTGCAGGAAAAACAAGTTTTCTTCTTCATGATGTAAACCAGGCACAAAATGACAACCAGACATGAAGCCACGGCAACGCATAACGACAGAGTAGTTTTGGACCGCCAAAAATCCCTTAGTTCTGGAAAAAAGTATAAAGCCTAAATATTCTTTTATAAATTTGTGCATTCATTCAATGTTTGAAACATTTTTCTAACCATCTCAAGCTTCAAAGAAAGTTTTGTATACACTACTTTGTATTTTAAATTGTGTTTTCCCTTAAGGTTTTTAATTTGTTGTAATTTAGTTATCAACTTTTAACTCATCTCAACTTTCAAAAAAGGTTTCGATACATACCTTGAATTTTCAGTTTAGTTCCATTTCCAAAAACAATTTCTTCAAATGTGGCCACAGCGCAGTAATATGTTCCAGCATCAGAGTGGCTGACCATTTTGGAGAACCTAAACACACATGTGTGTGCCTCAGGACTCCCACCACAATCTTTTCCACTTTTCCCATCAACATATATTAGACTGGGATGAGACTCATCTGAGCCAGCTTTGAACCAATGCACTCTGTGATAAGTTGGACACTTTTTCCTCTTACAGTGAAAGAAAACTGAACACTGTAATGTTACTGACTCTCCTGGACGGAGTGAATCAGGTAGCTGCTCTTGAGTTACAACGAGGCTATCGTTCTGAAAGGAAAAAAATGACACTGTCTTTCCCTGTCACACCCCTGGAGATTGACCCCTCCTTGTTGAGCACATTTCCAGCAGTAAATCAAGCTGACCGTGAATTGGAAATGGCTGATATATCAGACAAACATTTATGGGTGTCCAAATTCAAATGTCTGACAGCTGAGCTTGAAGACGTCACTCGCCAGAAACTTGACAGACACTTGTCTATGACACATGGAATGCTCTCCCTGACAGTTATAGGAACATGAAGAAATATGCATTTGGAGTATTATCCATCTTTGGATCAAAGTACCTGTACGAGCAGATGTTCTCAAACATGAACCACATCAAATCAAAATATTGCACCCGCCTCACACATGAGAGCTTGCAGTCCAGCATCAAGATTAAAGTTACATCTTACATGCCTGATGTTAAGCAGCAGACCAGTGATGTCCGAAAACAGAAGTCACATTAAACGGGTAGAAACACAATCCTGTCAAAGGCACATTTTTAGTAATTAGGTGGATGTTTCTTTAAAGTGATGTCTTAATTTCAATGTTTATATTTGGAATGACACTTAGGGATATTATTGTGTTTTGTTGCTCAGGTCCTACCAAAGCTGCATTGGTTGCATGTCAAAAAAGAAGAGGATCCTACTTTGTTTCACTCTTGCACTGACTTGCTTTGCATTTGCAAAGACATCAAACTTGAACTGTGTTAATTACATATTATATACTTTACCTTTTAAAAAGACATCTTTTTTTATTTTTAAAAATGTAGGCTGCATTTTATTGTACTCTGTTGCCCAAATAAGGGGCAAGTTGTGCGCGTTCCATTTGGTTGTTGTTTGTTCGAATCCTCAAAATAAAATAAAAAAAGCATCTAATATCAGATTTCTTTATTTCATTTCTTTAATTTCACCAAAGAAATTAAATATAATTCATTAATATTGTAATGAATTAAGGCTTGAGGGAGAGTAGTCGCGTGGTGCATCATTCTCTACAGGAAAAAATCATTAGAAAATTTGAGACAGCCTCTGTTATCTGGAATTGTATTACTTGATATCCTGTTCTTATGTGGCTGTCATTTTAATGTACTGTAGATGTATTTCTGTTAAATGTGTAACTTTAGATCCTCTTAGCCAGGACGTAACATTCATATTACATGTAGCAAACCTTCTGTTCTGACAGTGTTGTCGTCTATTTTGCTGCCTTGCCTGAAGAAGCTTTGATGCACCTCTGCTGCATAGGAATGTGTAGTTGCAACCAGAAGTACCATAAGAAGGGCAAAAAGGACCACCAATGGGCTACTACTGTAGCTTTGTTGTTTGCCGGTATCTTATACAATAGTGGATTAAAGTGAAAGAGTGGCTTGTGTGACATTTGGAGGTGTAGCAGATTTTTGTCCAGAGAGCCTTTGTTTCAGATGCAGTTCCCTTTAGATCTGGCTCCTGCTTCAAACCGAGTTCCTATCTGGATTGGAGTTTCTAACACATTTATTTTCTTTTCTTTAGATAAATGGTTTCAAAACTTGATTTTATGTCATGTCCACTCTTTTTGTTGCTGCAACTGATCTAGAGCATTAAAATAGTATGAACACAAAAGAAGATATCCATCCGTCCATTTTCTGTCACGCTTGATCCTTTCCGGGGTTGCGAGGGTCGCTGGTGCCTATCTCCAGCTGTCTACAGGCGATAGGCAGGTTACACCCTGGACATGTCAACAGTCCATCACAGACAAAAGAGGAAACCATTTTTTAAAACAAAATGACTATTTAAGAAATTGTACAAACGCCAAATATCAGGTTTATGTTGAATCAGCAGTTGCTAGTTTATTGGTAATATTGCTGTTACAACTTTATTTTACGCAGGTAACATAACAAAAGCTGGTCTTTTAGACTGAATTATACAAGTAGAAAGTAATGAATGAATTCACCGTTATTTTCAGTGTAGATCTATAAAACATGTCACACATGTATATCAGGTATGCAGATTTTACAGTTTAATATGTGAATAAACACAGTCCTCAGCCCCATTCATTTTCTTTCCTCTTCTACCTTTACCAGCAGAGAAGTGTAATGCTGCATAGTTCAGGTTCTGCTCGTCATCATTCTGTAAAGTAAATAAAATGCAAGTTAAAAAAGGAAGCTGACAGAAATTATTGTGGTACCTGCCAAAAGTTCACTAGAATTTACAGCTTTACTTACAGTCTGATCACCTTGCTCACTGAAGTTCCTTGATTTTTCTTCTAAAGATGTCCCTTCTATCTCTAATTGTGAAAGAAGAAGAAAAAAGAACAATGTGTGTTCACTCTGACTCCATCTGAGTATTATTTTTTTTTTGCTTTTGAAACTGATAAAAAACTAATAAATCATCATAAAATACACAAATTCTTTAAAAATACGTAGAAATTCAATTTGTCAATAAAACTGTGAAATGACTAGATACAAGCAAAATGTTCAGGTTTCATAATAATGGTTGCAATTTATGAAACCTGATACTTTGCATCAAAGTATATAAGATAAAGAAAGAATTAAAATACATTTATCATAGCTAATTGTTTTGGGGGGTTTTTCAGTGAGAGAGAGGAGGTGTTAGTGATGTGGATGACAACAAAAATTAAGGCATGCAAATCTTAAAAACAAAAACTGGTTTGAAAAAGCAACTACATTATCAAAAAAGTTTGGAAAAATTTGATGTTGTGTATTTTTTTTTACTTCAAGTTGGCTGTGCTTTATAGCAGAAACGCCCAGCCATCAAGGAATATACACCCTTTTTAAAGTGATTTAATTTAACATTTCAACTATTTTAAAGTCATGCTTTTTATATGCGATAATTGAAGAGTGATATTACAATATTTTACTGCAACTTTTTAAGTGGACTGGTTCCAACTGTACAGATTGAAAGCAAATTATAGCATGGCCCTTAAACTTTCACAAATGACAAATTGTGGTGGAAAGATTTTGCTGTTACTCTAGAGAAAAACAGAAAAAGGGTACAGTACCATAAAACTGCAGAGCCTAAACTGAAACAACTACTGTAGACATACCATTTTAATCAAAATTAAATATATTCAGCAGACAAGAGCAGCAATCACTCTTATCATTTAAAAGTAAAATCATAGCAACCTGAAATAGAGTGGTCTGAAATAAATACATCTATTGATGACCTTCTGTCTATTCAAGTCCATGTTGTTGCTAGCCAAACAAGCAGGTTGCCAGACAGTGGAAGGAAGACTAGTAGCTGTTTGGGATCAGCCAGTTGGGTTACAGTTACAACCCTGGCAGACAGAGTAATTAATGTAAAGTGTCACTAAAAAATAAATGCTCAATTCTTTAAAATTATGTTAATAATAGCTGAAATTAAATTTAAAAATGCCTTAATAATATCAGTCCTGGATAACCCTAACCATATGATATTGTCACATAACATATGTATGCGTTATGGATTATTATGGAAGTATTTATTAATTTCATTTTGAGGATTTCGATAGGACTAAAGTTACTGTTGGTTTTTTTTATACATATAATCCATTTGCACACGTTAGACAACCAGGGGATGAAAGAAAACTTTTACTTGACTTTATGGCAAAATGTTCTAAATATTTTATTTGTACTCTTACTTTGTTTGTGTTTCATGGGTTGTGTGCTAATGAACTATTATGATGTATAATGTGTGATTCATCATTTATTAACTCTTGCTTAAGATCTTTCCAGATAAAGGTCATGCAACGGACAGGTTGTGAAAGAGGCCTGAACATTCTCTATCACATGTTGGGTTGTAAAAGAGGCCTTGACATCCTCTATCATATGTTTCTTTTAAGCATGTGTTCTTGGAACAATTCAATTGTGAAACAACCCCATATTTTGTTTTAACATATGTGCTGAGGTTTAAAGTAAGATCATTTTGTTTCCCTTTCCCTTAGTTAAACCTCAGTTTGTGTAATTAGGGACATCCCCTCACTTCGATAAATAGCAAGGAGAAAGCTGAAGACCGGCAGAGTGGGTTGGAGATTTGTAAACTCTGCAGTCTCTTCCTACTCTCCTCGCCAGTAAAACTAAATTAATTGTCTCTGTGCCTTCTTTCTTTCTATGTATGTATGATGTTTTAGGTGCTTAGACCTGACACAAAACAAGGCAAATATCCCTCCTGTGATCAAGGCTTCTCAATGCAGAGAGGTTCACAGGAACTGTTGGGCTTAATAGCATTCTTTAAAATCGTCACCTGCTTCAAGAAAAAAATGGCTGTTCTATTCCTGAGCACACTGTACATCAAATACAGGAGCAAGAAATAAAATGAAATCATCCAATGTTGCAACAAGACCAAAAGATGTGCAAACACTATTGACAATCATAGGGCTGTGGTGTAATATCTTCAGGGTTGCCACCATTTTTCAAATCTCAGCTCCCTGAATTTCTGAATGGTACAGTGTCAACACTGCATGATGGCTCTTCCTCGCTGTGCTCTCAAAAGAGTTCTTCACAAAATTAGAACAGAAAGCTTCCTCCAGCTGCGAACCTGATCGCAGAAGCAATGGGAAAATATGGGGTAACAGCAGCCCCAACTCAACCACAGGAAAGACAGAAACAGGGTCAACCAAGGAGAAACGTGATGCTAATTTAGCCTGAGTTATAAAGACAATAAGGTCACCCAGTTGCTGAGGGAAATGCAATGTATCTGTGTACAATGATGACAGCCAGAAACAAATAGTCTGCCTTGAATGCATAGAAATGGACTTGGAACATAAATACTAAATACTCTCTCAAATAAACACTTATGCATAGCACTTCTCTTAAACACATACATACATAGAGATAGAAAATGTATATGTATATTGTTTCTTTTACTGCTGTGCAATTCAACAACTTTAAGAATGGAATTATGCCAAACAATAAATCGTTTTTGGGTGGACAAAGCTGGTTTTTCTTAACCAAATTGACAAAAAAACAACCTAAAAATACAGCTAATTTCTTACACATTAATGAAAGTTTGCTCAGCACTGTTCTCATGCATCTAAGACAAATTAATATTTCAAGGGTTATCGTGATCTCTCTATGTGCAGATTAAATTATTAACTTCTGAATAATTAAAGTGATAATTTTCTACAGCCCCTAAAATCAGTGACAAACTCTTACCTTTAAATTGTTTACATGCTGCTGTTGGAGTTTTGAGACGGATCAAAACAATATTTGCAATCAAAGAAATAATCAAACAGGATACAGCAATAAGAAGTAAAGGTGATACTGGGTCTGTCACTGTAAAGTAAGAACACAATTGACCAAAAATCATTTTAAGTGCAAGAGTATGTTTGAAAAAAAGACATTTTCAAAACCTACATATAAAATCTTACCAACTTCTGGCTTGGTTGCAACTCCAAATAGTATCTCTCCACATGTGGCCACAGCACAGTAATAGGTTCCAACATCGGAGGATCTGATGTCCTTAGAGAAGTTATATACACATCTAGTTCGATGGTCGATTTTTTTCTGACATGTGTTGGTTCTGTATCCCTCAGTGTAGATGATATCTGGTGGAGACTTATCTGATCTGAACCAGAAAACACTAAATTCTTCTGAACATGTCTTGCTCTCAAAGTCTGAGAGGACTGAACACTGTAGAGTCACATAATCCTGTGGATGAAGAGAATCTGGTTCCATCAGCTTCTGAAATACTTTGTAGTTTGATGTCCCTGCAGTGTTTCCTGTCGGATATCAAACAAAACTCTTAGATGATGCATTGAAAAATTCAGTTTTTTAAATTGTAAGGGAGTCTCAGACATATTTAAAATGTAGGAATTTTAAGAATTTCACAAAAGGTAAAGTAAGGTAGGAAAACATTTATTGAATTCAACCTTACCCCAATAACATTTGTAAAAGGTTTTCAAATATGTGTGTTAACATTAAAAAATAAAAAAACAAAAAAAAATCTATATTGTGTCCCAATCTTAACACAGATGACAGTTTAAGATATTTTAGAATATGTGTTTTTTTTGTATACTTCTGATGATCTCTCTAATCATTAGATGTCCGTAAATTAGTTGTTTAACAAATTACTTTTGTAAACATTGTACCGATGAAAATGTTGCTCACTGACACCATCACAACTCTCATGTTATTTGAAGTGGCTTGCCAAAAAAAATAAAACTAGTCAAAACAAATAATGGTGTGAAAGAGTTTACTTGCAAATGAAAAAACACAATGAGATTAAAAAAAGTAAAAAATCTGAACTTATTTGCCCTACCTAGGACTGTAAAATAGGCAATATAAGCGCACCTGAAGCACGTCTTTACTTCCTTACTGACCAGTGTTTCAAAAAAAAACCCAACAACATAAGAATCTAGAGTTGTATCTGTTCAGCAGTCATTTACTTATTGTCAACATTTACTTACTCTATAAACTGGTCATTTGTGCCTTTTCAATCTCTGTGTTTTGCCTTAAGATGCTACAGTTTCACAAGCTCTTTAAACCCCAAATTTAACGGCAACAATACCAATTTCAAAATTAGATTTTTTTGACTGGTAAAAGAAGTCAATGTTTTTTTTTTGTTACTCACACTAAAATGAACCAAATGCAGATTTTTATGCCTTTTTAGATTATTTCACAAATTCCCTAAGACTACATTCTCACATTAAATATGCTTATGAGACATCCACTAGAGAGTTTATTTGTATCATTGAGAAAATCTTATTGGCATGTGATTTGCGGAAAAAGAAGAATATATATATATATATATATACATACGCATCATATCTTTTCACTCAAAAGCCTAATTATTTTCTCTGTTTAACTTAGTTTTGAAGAAAAGCACATACATAGTCCAAACTTAGATATTATAATGCATAAAAAATACCATATGTGCAAATCCCAGTAAAATGTGAATTCTGAAAAAAGAAAAATACCTAGAAATGATAAAGACATTACCTTTTATTAATAGATAGGTCCCATGCCAAATGTTTGTTTGCCAGTCGGTGAAAACGCAATGATACATTCCTTCATCTTCTATAGCTGTGTCTAAAATAGTGAGGATGCTCATTTTGTCAGTAATTACACTTTTTATTCTTGAATCAGAATAATGTGTTCCATACTGTGGGTTTGCATAATTCACAAACTTCACAATTACTTCCAGAGTATCTCCTGTTGTTTGCTTGTACCAGAAATGTTCACCACTACTATCATGATTACCCGGCAAATCACATGTAAAGTTTGCTGCTTCACCAAGATAAACTGTCATCACTGGAACCAAAGCATCTGTATTAGACAAACAAAGGAGAAACTGGTATAAAATTGGTGTAAGACAAGGAAAAACACCCCACATTATAGAGCCAAAGGAAAACAAAATGTTAAACAAAATGTTCAGCAAGCATCAGTTATATACTTAAATTACAAAATTTAAATTGCTGAGGCTTTAACTCACATCCTTGATGAAGAAGAAGAGTGACCCAAAAGAGAACCATTCTGAGACTGTCTTCTGAGATTGCAGTTGTTCATATTTAAGTAGGAGGAGGTTTTTTTTTAGATCCTGTCACCTTATTGGCTGTTTCAAAATACACCATCTTTGTGAGTTTCCTGCTACACTAGCATTAAATGTATTAAGCAAAAATGTCAAAAATCGTATCATGTTATAAAATTTCTAAGTAATCTACACAAGTCTTATATGTCTTAATAAAATCGCTGTGATAACAACAAAGCCTTTTTTATGAGAAGATTTGTCTGAAATAGATTTACCTAATATGTCAGTTTGAAGTAGGTTAAGTGATGTAGCCCAAAGTCCTTTGAAAAACTAAAGAAAAAAGATACAGTAGGTGACTTTAACCATTTTTTTTTTGTTTCCCTTTTTTTATTAATTGTTTTTGGATTAAATAAATTGTGTGATATAAACAATAAGAGGCATGTTTTACAGGCATGCCACTTCTGTGTGGTGATAATTTAGCTTTATTTTATCCATCCAGATAATGTTTTCTTCAATAGCCTATTGCTCTGTATTGTCAGAGTATTGTACTTTTTAAAGTATTAAATTTCTAGTACTGTATCTCAGTGACTGAACAGAATACAGAATTACAGAATTAAGCCATTGACATTTTTTTTTGTAGAAATAAAAACGCCTTCAGCCTTGGTAATAATGTTTCTGTATCCTGAATTTGTTACTCCTCCTTATTTTATTTTTAAGATTCAACCTTGGTTGTTGGATGCTCTAAAGAAAAAAAAAAGGACAACAGACCATTTAAATTATAACGATTTTATATTAAATCCCAATCAGTACAATGCAATATTACTGACCTTTAAAGTCAGGTGTTGGATTATCTGAACCACATGGTATTCCTCTGATTCTGACTTTGGCTAAGGGTGAGGTTTTCATTGCTTTGAAGTCTACTTGTGTTTTCATTCTCAGAACCGTGTAACTTTCCGAAGACACCTGATGTATCGATGCGTAGAACCATTCTGCTACAGATTCTACACCACCTGTAAAGAACTTCAACATAAAAATGCCACAAAAAATCAGGACAGCCATTGTTATTTTCATTTCCTATTTAAAAACAAACCAAAACGAAAACAGGAATGACTCTCCTCACACTTTCATTACATGACAGAGGTTAAAGATTGAATCTATTACCAAAATATAACGGACAATCATAGGGCTGTGGGAACAATTCTAAATTTGAAATTCATCCTACTGAAGAAATTGTACACATAACATTTAGAAATGAAAGAAACTTTGTTTTTTTACAAACAGTTTTCAACTCTTGTTCTCAGAAGAAATGATTTCTTCTAATAAAAATTAAATGACAAACCTTATGTGCTACTCTCATTCCCACATAGTTTTTTTGTCCGTTCTGTAGGTAATGCAGACACTTTGTCTAAAGGTCGTTCATGAGGTGGTGTTGGGGATTCCTTAGGAAAAGTGTTCGTATTTTGATACTCTCCTGTGTGCTACTGTGAATACTGAGGGAATTTTCTGACACATGAGGTCCATACACTGGCTTCAGACATTCCCTTGACTGAAGCAGAACATATGTGCAGCCACAGCTTCATCCAAGGCAGGTCTTTTACATATACTGGGCAGACAGTTGGGAAGGCACCGGAATATTCTTCAGCTCATCCACGAAAGGCCGGAGATAATTGAGAACTGGGGCAAACTACCAAGTTGACATAGCCACACATCAGGCTATGTCTACATTCAAGTTGTAGACATAGCTTGAGGTGTGGAATAATAAAACTTTATCATGCATTTGTTCTGTATCACTTTGTAAAACTGATAGCTTATTTTTATGTCAATACATGAGTGTAAACTTACAAATGGTTTGTTTTGTCTTTAGCTTCTGTTACCTTTCTTTTTTGGCTTTTGGGAACATAAGACTATACATAAGACTATATGTCTTTTTTTGTGTGCATTCTGAGTTCTTATTATAGTGCATTGCAGTGAGATACAATCTGTGAAAATAAACAGGTGAAGTGGGGTGTGAAAACAGAAATACTTTTAAACAACATGACCAAAGTGCAGACATGACAATGGGTCAGAGTTGAAAGAGGTGATAAAGAAAAAAACCCAGGCCTAGTGTACTCAAGGGAAGATTCCCCTTAAATAATATTCTGTATCATTTAAAATTGCACATCTAGTGAACTTGGATATAATCCACCAAAGGACAGTATGAAACTAAATTCTTGCCAGCATTCTCAAAAACTCCCTTCAAAGGCATAGACATTATCTAAAAAAACAATCCACATAATTCTAGCATTTCCCTTTTTAACATTCATCGTTTTATTAAACATAAGTGTATGTACAGTTATAATTTGTACTTTTAACAGGAAATGGCAAAATAGTACTTTAACAAAAAATAAATGTTTTCTACGGATGAAGAGGGATCATCCAAAAACATCCTTGCATTTGCAACTGGAGCAAATTAGATACCACCAATCGACTTTTACCTGGCACCGTCCATTGAGTTTCTCTCTTAGGGCAGTGAAGAAGGGTCCTCCAAACCAATGTTACCCCATGACCAACGCTTGTATGAACTGTTTAAAACTCCCACTCTTAACTTCTTATGACGTTTTTAAGGAAAACATGGACTTTGCTATTACAAACACCCAAGGATTTGGGAAAATATTAAAATTCTTTTTACTCAACAAAATGATTACAGTTCTTAAACTAAAGCTAAAGCATTACAGTTAACACTTGTATGCAACAATTGCTCAGACTAGTCCAGCTTAGCATGTTGATTTGTTGAAAAATTGTACAATGGCTACTAGCAGAGATTGCTTTAAAATAGAAATAAACAATTTGTAATGGTTTCTCGGAAGCATCATTGCTAACCAGTTAGCAACTTAGTGCTAGTAGGTTCCCAATGGGAAATGACATCGGGACCAAGTAGCACTAAATTGGTGATTTAGCAATGACACTGTCAATGAACGCTATGGACAGCAGAAACATGCAAGGAGCAAGAGTTTTGTGTGTTTTCCATCTCCTTTCAATGGAGCGCTCACAGAGCTCAGAGTATTAAGTTAAAAGTTATCTTTTCTGTTGCTGTTGTTCAATAAAAGTACGTTTTAAGATCATTTCAAGCGTGAACATTATACTTTTAAGTGTCACTATATGGCCCATTTACCGATTTAATGCGTGACCGTGGCAACCAGTGGAGCTCCAAGTGTATCGGACCTAATCCTTGACTGTCTGCAGCAGCCCTCTCTCGGCATAGTCATGTGTGAAAGACCGCTGGCTATGATGGTATTATTTTTGATTTATTTGGCATAATGTTCATTTGATTTGTGTTTATCTGACTGCGTTAATTATTGTTTCCCCACTAAATGAAAAGTCAGAGTTTGTTATTATCAACTAATTACGACTATTAATAACAGGAGGTGAAAAGCAGCTCCAGATTAGCCAAGTGTGTGGTGACGCCACAAGTACACTTCTGTTCCAATAGACTCATATTTATTCAGGGTGCTCCCGTTCTCCACAAGTCAACACTTCTCAGTGTTCTTCTCAAGAACACACTTGGCAAGGACCCAAGTCCATACTTATGTTCCTTTGAATTAAGAAATGGCAAACAATTCACTCTCCAACTATACAACTGTAACAGGAACCTCTAATTGTCTAATCTACTTTCAATCACTGCATATATTAGTTGCGACATTTGAATCAAGATGCTATGACCAAAAATGTTTGATTGACAGATGACCCTTGATATATGATTGGCCGAATTTAGGTGTTCATGCTGACGTATAATTAACTGCCCTGCATAAGTTAACAAAAAAATAACACACATTTTAAGACATTTAAGAAATAGGCGTTTTCTAAATTTTGGGACAATATCATCTGATAAAGAGTACATTTATATAAATATTTAAGCCAGAATGAATTTACATTAAAATATGATTTCACATGTCTAACAGAAACACGGGTTAGTGACTGTGATAATCTGACCAAAACATGGATAAATGAATAATAAAATGAGAACATCCCTGTTGTTCCTCCTCTATCAATCCTGGATAAATGATTTGTTCTGCACATCCTCTCTGTGTCTTATGTGGTACTCTTTTGTTGGGTGGCTGATCTTTTGAAAAATAAATTGCAATGGTTCTTTTTCTATAATTTTTTGGACCTCCCATAGGTATGAGAGGCATAGCTGAAAGCTTTATGAATTTAGATATTTATGTTGCTTAATTAGTCTTAAATTCCAACAAGATCACTCAACTAGACTGAGCAATTATTTAACTTGTGCGCAAAACATGAAATAAAAGTGGAACTAAATCAGCTGGATAGAAAAAACAAACCTTGAGATATCAATTTGATGTGATCCTACACTAGGTCTCCAAATTAATAATTTAAGTTAGCTGTTGTAAATTTTATTTATATTAATTCACATCTTCATTAATTTGCAATGTGAATTATCGTACTCGAGATAAGATAAAGATGAGATAAAAATTTAAATGACAACTTATAATAGCTGCTCAGAAATCCTGGTCATTTTTCAATATCTTGAGCATGCTCTTTAACTTAGCTGCTGCCAGCACAGTGAATAGGTGGGTTGGTGCAAAATTGGGTCTGAACCTGGCATGTCCTTGTGTGTTAGCAATAAAGTTGTGTTGTAGACATGGCAGGATTTTTTTCAGCATGGTATTTTTATATATAAATAAATGGAATGGAGTTGAGTTTTAAAGTCAATTTTTTAGCATGAACAATTGCGGATATGAAGTGTAAGCGTTTGAAGACACTGAGATGGGTGAGTCTCACACCCAATGGGGGAGAGTTGACATCCCTGTGTCAGTTCATGCACATACAGTATACACATGTATAATTTCTCATAAAGACAAGTATTAGTTCATGTCCACATATGTATAATCTCCTATTTAGACTAGTGTTAGTTCACAGACACACATTTATAATCTCTCATTAAGATTAGTATTAGCATGAAATATTTAGTTTGTGAGTTTAAGGGGACAGTGTCTCTTATGGTGTGTCTATGGTTTTAGTGGTGTGTGAGAGGAAAAATACTTTTGTGAGTGTGCGTAAGGGTGACTGTATGTGTGTGTGTGTATATGGTTATAGTGGTGTATGTGAGAGTGGAAAAATTGTTTCTGTACTAAATGGCACCCCATAGTTGTGGTGAATTTATACAATATATGTGCAGAGTTATCTGTTTGACCAGGATTTGAGCTAGATTCACGCTTTCATTTGTTGTCCTAACACTTCCAGTTGTTCACAGAAAAACTCCAAATATTATTTGATTAAATCACCCCTATTATAATGCCAGCCTGTGGTGGGCATTGAATATATGATTATGCACAACACTGACAGTTGCTATTTTTACATACAGTAGAAACAAATAATTGGATTAAAGGCCTAATCACATCAAAAACACTTAAAGAGTCTCTACGATCTGAAAGAAATTTCATTCCCAAAGTGTACAGTGTCCCATGCAACTCTGCTGATTAGTTTCTTTTTTTTTCCTTTTGTCATTTTGTGTCTGGCTCAGTTGTTTTTTGAACTCTCTGTTTTATTTTTGGTGCAATAATCTCTGTTCTCTTCTAAGTTGAGTCTTGCATTTGAGTCCTCTTTTGGTTGCCCCATGACAGGAGTTTTTGGAAATTGCCATTCCGATTGGTATCCATATGCACACCCTTTTGGATCATTGGAGTAAAATTATCTCTACTGTGCATTTGTGCACCATCAATGTGTCATTAAAGCACATTTAAATGCATGCTTAAAAGGTTTCATCTTATTACATACTGACATGTATACACATGTATACACATGTTATGATGAAATGATTTTATATGGGGTCCATGTAAACAGATATTTGGAATTTCTGATCGACTAAGATTTAGATCAGATGGTGAAAATTTTGCACATTTAAACTGAGCTTTTATTAGGTTCTTAGATAAGAACTATGCAAGACCCTGCCTTTGGAAGAAGAGCACAGGGCTCTACTTGATGATTACAGATAAAGTTAACACAACACCAGGCCCTAATTAATACCTATTCACTGATAAGTTGATCACAAACCCTAAACCTACCCTGTTATCATCCCACCTATTGAGTAATCGATTGTTGTCACCTAGAAGCCCTGGATTTTTTTTTGTATTTTTAAATGGTTTAAAAAACACTTAATTGAGATAAAATTTTACATAGAAAGAGAGTGCCATTGACAGTGCAGACAATTCCCTTTGGAACCTTGAGTAATAATGAAGTTATTCATTTTACCAACTTTTGTTACGCTGCCCAGTTGGCATCCAGAGTGGAACCTTCTGAGCCACTTTCCTGTTAAAGGTATAGTGGAAGAAGTTTTTTTCCAGTTGGAGCATCAAAATAAGTGGTCGTCCTAATTGTCAATCATTCTGTTGATATGTTTACAGAAGGCGGTCCTATGTGCTTGTCCCCATTTTCACTTACGTGAGTCTGACATACAGTAGTGGAAAAATGTCAAATCATCTTTTGGAAAGTAAGCTTGTATGAGTGATGCAAACAGCAACTTTTTAACACAGCGTGCACAAGGAGAAATGAGCTCGTGTACGCTCCCTCATGCATTTAATAGGTGTTCCCTCTCCGGAGCGGGTACAGGGTTGTCCATATGCATTTTCTTTCTTAAGTGGAGAGGGCGGGTCTTCTCATAAATTTGCGAAAATCCTCCACTATAACTTTAATGTTCTTTGCAGAGTGCCGATTCTCAGGTAATCACATCTTCAATTTCTTTTTGATTTTAACATTACTGGAAAGCTTAGACTCCACGGTTTTGAGGATCTGTATATAACTCGAAATGGCCAAACATAGACTTGCAAATGGTTTTGTCACAGCCACATATAAGAGCTCATTATACTGAAGAGAATTACCCCAGCATTTATCCCTATGATACTGCAAAACCTCAGAGCTTAAAGAAGATTGATTATTGAAAAACATTTAAGCTATCCTAGTGCAGTTCCCTTAATTTCCATAGCACTTTAAAGTCTTTTCAAAAGAATATTGTGATCAAATGTTTAAAATCACACAATCCGCCTGTCGATCTGCCGCTCCCTTCTTCCCTCATTCGTAAACAAGATCCCAAGATACTTAAACTCCTTCGCTTGGGGCAGGACACCCCCCTTGACCCGGAGAAGGCACTCTACCCTTGCCGCATTCAAGCTATATCTTTCAATGATATAAATACAAAAATCCCTCTCAATAACGACCTTGTCAGAACAGCATCATTATTTTATTAATGCATTTATGAATGTTGGCTTCATTTAAAGTCAGGATATGTTTTTCCTTTTTTTATAAAGGATCTGGAGTTAACTGTTTAAAAAGACACAAACATGTGAAAAAAACTTGTGAAATTATTAAAATAGTATATAAGCATTTATTTTAGTGATTCTCATATTCTCATAAAGAATCAGCAATAAATAGTGATGTATTAGCTGCGTTTTATTCGTATAGACAGGCACAATAAGGAACAAGAGAAATAGTTTATTAATTTAAACCACCTTTTGTAAAATATTTTAAAAACAAACAATGATTCAGACAAAATAATAAAAAAAAAATTATTCTATGGCTTTTTTCCAAAAACATTTTTTTTTTTTAAATTGGTATACATTGAGTTTTTTCACAAATAAAACAAAAACTTTGGTCTTTCTCAATTTGACAATCTGACAAACGTCAAATGCAACTATATTGTGTTATACAGCAAACAATAGCAGGCATCTCTAATATATCAGGCATAACTTGAAACTACTTAAAAAAGGGAAAAAAAAATGTACATTTCAATATATATATCTACCCTCTAAAAAACCTGGAATGCCCTATAAAAGATTCTTCATTCAGCTGCAGAGATATTTAATTTCCATTTCAAGTTAAAAAAGCATTTGAAAACAAAATACTTGAAAGTCTTGACAATTATCAAGCAAGTTCTTATGATCTACAGGAACAAAATCTGTGCCAAAGACATCCATCCATTTTTGGCAGCTCATCCATCAGGGTCCATGGGGTTTGGTGCTTCTCTCCATTAGTTTAGGGTGAAAGGCAGTGTACACCCTGGACAGGTTGTCGGTCCACAGCAAAGCAATACATCAGGAAGGTATATTAAGAAAAATATCTGACTAGAAAACATCCATTTAAATACAAATGTTTAGGGTATGCAAAACAGCGTTATGACAGAAGTTTTACTTTAAAAGCCACAGGAAGAATCAAAATTGCATAAAACCTGGGAAAAAATGCAGTTACAGAATCAGAATTAGAAACTGCGGGTGTACATGTGATTTTAATAATAGAATAGCTGATTCAAATGGTGTACAATGAGGCTCTAAACCGATCACAGTAAACGTTTTCCAGACAAAACAACGACGACCTTCTGACTTATTTAATGACGCTTGTGTAGACCGTCTCGTCATGAGTTGCATTTACTTTTCTTCTTTCTGCTTTTCCACCTTTGCCCCTGGTGAAGTTTGGCGCAGAATAGACCAAAGACTGTTCACTTTTCTGAGAAATATATAGAGGAAAATAATGGGCAAGCAGATGTTAATTTAAACTTAAGCAGCAAACATAGTGTTAACATTTTTGGACTTTACCCCTTCATTATGCTGAGCTCCATGTCCTCTGATGGCATCTGTTAAAAAATGGAACAAATTTTCCAATAAAGAATATTAATTCCATAGTTTGCTACTACAAACTACCTTAAAACTGATCTATGAAACTTACCATTGCAGGAAAAACAAGTTTTCTTCTTCATGATGTAAACCAGGCACAAAATGACAACCAGACATGAAGCCACGGCGACGCATAACGACAGAGTATTTTTGGACCGCCAAAAATCCCTTAGTTCTGGAAAAAAGTATAAAGCCTAAATATTCTTTTATAAATTTGTGCATTCATTCAATGTTTGAAGCATTTTTCTAACCATCTCAAGCTTCAAAGAAAGTTTTTTATACACTACTTTGTATTTTAAATTGTGTTTTCCCTTAAGGTTTTTAATTTGTTGTAATTTGGTTATCAACTTTTAACTCATCTCAACTTTCAAAAAAGGTTTCGATACATACCTTGAATTTTCAGTTTAGTTCCATTTCCAAAAACAATTTCTTCATATGTGGCCACAGCGCAGTAATATGTTCCAGCATCAGAGTGGCTGACCATTTTGGAGAACCTATACACACATGTGTGTGCCTCAGGACTCCCATCACAATCTTTTCCACTTTTCCCATCAACATAGATAAGACTGGGATGAGACTCATCTGAGCCAGCTTTGAACCAATGCACTCTGTGATAAGTTGGACAGTTTTTCCTCTTACAGTGAAAGAAAACTGAACACTGTAATGTTACTGACTCTCCTGGACGGAGTGAATCAGGTAGCTGCTCTTGAGTTACAGTAGAGACCTCTGGTTCTGGTCCTAAAAATTAAAAGATTTGACATTTATTGCAAAGCGAAGAGTGCATTGAAATGCATATAATATATAAATATTGAATATATTTACGATATAAATTTGTTTATCTACCATTGATCTTGAGAAAAATTCCATTCACGAATATCAGCTTTAGATCAGCTTCAACTTTAATACAGTAGTAAAGTCCAGTGTCGTTCTGCTGAGTTTCTTTAATATGCAGAATAAATGTTCCTTCCTCTTGTTTTGATGTTAGGTGTCGCGTTTTGGTGACCTTGTCATAATCCAAGGTTATTGTTTGTCCAAGAAATTCAGGCCACTTCACGGAAGAAAATTTTACCCAAAACAAACTTTTGGATTGAGTGGATGGTGAGCGAGGACATTTCATTGTTACATTTTCCCTAGCATTAGCAGTTTTTACCACAAAACTGTACCCACTGGTTAGATCTAAAAAAAAAAAAAAGGCAAAGAAGTTTTTGACATGTAAAAAATTAATGAAGCACAAAATAACTTTATAAAGAGGTTTAATGTCATATTTTGTACTTACAGCTGCCTCTGAGCAACAGGAGTAAATAAAACATGACCAGCATTTTCATTTAAATCCTCAAAAGGTTGCACAAAAAGAGAGGCATATCCTCAATGCTTCAGTCTAATATAATATTGAAAAGTGGGAGGGAACAATGCTGAAAGAATCTGATTGGCTTTTTCTTAACTGTCACTGCCACCACAGTGGAAAATACATCAGCTATGTTTCCAAATAATGTTTACAAAATTATACCTACATCAAGTAATTTATTTTCATGTTGTAATTTAATAATGTTGTTCTTATTGGCAAAATTCAGGTTGTTACTCGATAATAAACAGCAATAACTTTTCATAGTTATTGAAAACAGGCCATGTAGATAAATGGCCAGGTAAGCAATTCAAAGGCACACATCATTTGTGCACAGAATACCTTTTCTGTTGCTTTCATGCATGTGTCATAACTGGATCTCCTTTTGTGAAGCAGTCAACTCTGGCTTGATGTTTTTTTTAGGGAAACCAAGTGGCATGCTCCCTGTGGGCTGCATCTCATCCCATTCTCAGTATTTCAGGCATTTGATTTAGTAGGAGGGTCACACAACTAGAGGCTCACCTTGAGTGCCATTCATGTAATGGTGTGTTCACACCGAAAGAGAAACCTAGGGAAAATTTCGGCAGTTGGTTCATCTGCATTTATTTGCCTTGAAATTCACCTGGTCAGCGAAAGCAATTCACTGTCACATATTTTTTATTTTTTTTTTGCATTTGAGGAAGACAGTGGAACATCGTAGAGACCCACTGGGTAGCTAAAGTCGGGAGAGGTTGTGGCTGGCCGGTGCTAGCTGCAGTAGCAGCCATTCAAAATAGCCAGTCAAACGTTAGCCGAATGGCAGCCTACTCCTCTGCGACTCCCAGCAAAACATCCTCCAACTTCCAGCCACTGGCTTTCTCCTGCGCCTGCATATTTTTTTTACTCTGAATCCCCTCTTTCGATAAATTTAAGGGTCTGACCAGGAGATTACGCTTCTCCTTGGATCTTAATGTCCACAAATCATGGCAGAAATAATATTTCAGTAGAAGACTGATTTTTAAACAGGAATTGTAGAGGACCAGCTGAGGGCCCATCAAGGAAAGTGGGGAAATTTAAAATGGCTACTACTGTATAGGGGCAAACTATGGAGGATTGAAGGGGTATAGCTGTAGAAGCAAGCTTGGCAAGCAGAGAACTGAAGGTGTGGAGAGGTCGGGGCTTGCTGAGACGAGCAGTTGTACATCTGAAAAAACCCACCAAGAAGACATCCATCCATCCATTTTCTAACACGATTACTCCCAAAAGGGGTCACAAGGGGTGCTGGTGCCTATCTTCAGCTGTCAATGGGCGACAGGCGGGGTACACCAAGGCAACATAGAGACAAACAGGACAAACAACCATTCACGCACACACTCACACCCAAGGATAATTTAGAGAAGCCAATTAACCTAACAGTCATATTTTTGGACTGTAGGAGGAAGCCCGAGTACCCGGAGAGAACCAACGCATGCTCAGGGAGAACATGCAAACTCCTTGCAGAAAGACCCCTGGCCAGGAATCAAACCCAGAACCTTCTTGCTGCAAGGCAGCAGTGCTACCCAGACTTACTCTTTAATTTCAATTTAGAAAAAGGTTATGTCCCAGCTGCCTCCATTACTCTAAGTCACAGCCATATCTAGTGTCTGACTGAATTCAGCAACATAAATTTAGATAAAAGTGTGTGAATGTACACACAAATTCACACACTAATTGCAGCAAGTTACAGTGTAACCACAGCTGTCCTGGGGTACACTGACAGAAGCATGGTTGCTGTACAGTAGGTGCCTGTGGCTCTTCTAACCATTATTGTAATGACGCAGATGAACCAACCACGCTTTGTTTCAATTCAGTTCTTTCTCCTCTCTCGTCAGTAATGCTGCCAAGAAAAAAATGCATCTTATTACAATCCTTAGTCACTGTCTTAGTAACCAGGACAGGAGTTTCAGGACATCTGTAGGAGGAGGAGTTTGTTAAACTTGTTCATTAAATCGCTCTGAAATCATTTGACAGTCTTTCATTGCTTGCTATGAAACTGAGTCAAATGCCGAAAGCATTGAGCTTCACTAATCACAGTAAAGGTTTTTTCTCCACTTGTTCTCCTCTGTGACAGAACTCTCCTTCCTGTGAAAGCTTTGTATTGAACCATACCTAACCACCCAAAACAATATATTTTGGCAGTGTTCCCAAAAAGAGATTCTCCTAAATATGTTTAGAAAAATATAGAAAAAATAAATATCTACGTCAAGTGGGCCCATCAGATAAGGCTCTCTCTAATTAGTTGTAAAAGAGGCACTCTGATTCATCCCTCTGTTCGGACCATTATTCACAACAATTAAGTCTATAGCTCCTGACATGTCTTTATTAAAGAAACCTACACTGAATTTACTCTTTAACGTGTCCTTTGAGTTTAGAAGAGTTTCAATCATTGCTCTCTACGGGTCAGTCACGCTCAACTGTGAAATTATTCTGCCTCCCAGAATAACTTTGCATTGACTGAACATTGTATTCAACGGGTAATCTGTGAGTCCGACTGCTGTATCTTTTGCCAGGTTGCCTTCATCTACGTTCATGATCTTCAGAAGGACGTGCAGCAAAGTGTTCAAATCCAGGTATTTTTGTCCATTTCCAGAAATAAAAAACTTGACAAGGCCAATGTCAGTGTAGATATATTAGTTGTATTGGTTGATATTTGAGAACAATGTATTCTTATAAAATTCAAGTAGGGCATAGGCAAACAAAACGAGCCTTTAATTAAAAAAAATTGTACTGGCAAGAATTTTAAACTACTTAAATTCCTACTCTTATTGCCATTTGAATGTAAATCTTTCACAAAATAAAACTTACTCTGGACTGGTCAGTGGTGGCGGAAAGACAACCTCCTCTTTGGGGTTGCTCCTCTCTCCTTGCTATCAATCAATCAATCAATCAATCAATCAATCAATCAATCAATCTATCTTTATTGTCAACTACAATTTGCATTGTAATTCAGATTACACTTTCAGTGCAAACCATTTTTCACATACAGAGGGGGAGGTGGACAGGGGAATGATTGACTGAGACCATGCGTGCCAAAGAGCTGTCATTTTGGCTGCTAAGGACCCCACTTTGAGGCAGTTCCCTTATGGCAGGGGTAACCAATAAAAATCAGCTGGGTCTGGATAAAGAAAATCATCAACCTGACATGATTAGAGAAGAACGACTCTAAATCAGGGCAACCACGGAGACAGTTTGTTTGATTTAGTAAGAGGCTTTTTTTGACAATGAACATGAAATTGTGTCAGGCAGCATCTTCCTGGGTTCTACTTGGGGAAAATATAGAGTGAGTGATGATGAATAACTGGTCAGAGGAGGTGGGAAGGTGGAGAAAGCTAAACTCACAGGGTTTGAGGTTGTTTGGGCTTGGAAGGATGGTGTCCTGGGTCCAGGTACAAACTGAGACTCTCTCTGGTGATGGTGTGTTAGAGGGTGGACAGGCAGGTGGGCTCCTGGAGGATGTCTGCGGCAGACTGACCTGCGAAAATTCTGGACCCTTCCACTTTAACATCCAGGGAACTTTTGATTAGGAGGATGCTGAAATCAGAAATACACTTTTGCTTTGAGAGCAAGCTGTACAGAATTTTTCATCTGCCTTGAAGTCTTTGGCCTTTTCTCAATTCAAAACAAAGCATAAATCAGGGTCAATTGGAACAGAAGCGTACTTGTGATGTCATCACATGCTAGCCTTGTCTAGAGCTGCATTTCACCTCCTGTTATTAATAGTCTCTAGATAATAATAAATTCTGACTTCTTTTAATTTAGTGGGGCAATAATAATTAACACGGTCAAATAAACATAAATCAAATGAACATTTTGCAAAACATAACAAAAAAAAAATCGCCATCAGAGCCAGCGGTCCTTCACACATGGCTATGCCAATAGAGGGCTGCTGTTTGCTTTGGAGTTCCGCTGGTTGCCGTGGTCCTCTCAACTTCGGAAATCTTTTTTTTTATTACGCATTAAATCTGTAGATAGACCATATATGAAATGAAATGATCCTTAAACGTACTTTTATTGAACAACAGGAACTGAAAGAGAACTTATAAGTTTCAATGAAGCACTCCATTGAAAGCTGCTGCTGCCGCAGTGCAGACTGGGACAGCTTTTACTCTCAAGAACAGACAAGTCTGCTCTGATTTATACTTGATAAAGAGGGCAGGGCGAGAGCAACATCCTGGGAATTGGTGCATTCTTGGTCTGGAATTATCGACAAATGGAACAGTGCTTGGGCTGAGGCTAATGACCTGTCACAAGCACACGAGAACGCTCGAGAAAAGCATATTGAGAAACGGCCCTTGTCTCTGTGCTCCACTTGGCGAATCCAATATTCCAAATTTGTTGGGCTTTTCCGCCTTGAAATGGGCATGCACATCCAAGATTCTTTCCCATCTCACCCTTGAATTCAGCAACCGCAGCCAGCTTCATTCAATCTCATCGAGCTTTTGGCTCAGCTCAAGGTCCTGCTCGTTCACAACGTTTGAGCGCATCAACATTGGCAGGTAGCCTAATCATCGCCAAAATTTACATCCTCTGTAATCGTAGATACATCAGGTATCCTCCAAAATAGAACAAATCTGAGTATTATGTATCCAAACATGTATACACGTATTTGATGTCCTTCACTAACAGTATCATAAAACACACCATTCTCCAATCCTTCCAGGAGTCTAGGGTGTATCCCATATAGTCAGGACAGAACAGGTCCCATCTACCCTGTCTTCCAGTTTAGAAAATTTAAACAGTTGCATTTGCGAGATCAGCTGACCCGATACATTGTTTGATTCAGGTGATATGAAGAGAGGGGTCAGAAAGACAAGAGGCAACACCTATTGTCTGCAACCAGAGAAGAAGAAGAAGAAGAAGAAGTTTACTAATGGTGGTTATGCTAACGCTGAGCAAATAACTCACAATCCACTTATTACTGTAATACTGAAAATATGTTTTTGGAATATTTAGTAACATTGTCAAAGTATTTATATGAACTA